AAATGTTAGCTAATCAAAATGAGTCATTCCAGGACTAACTGTTTTCGGTGGTCCTCTGAGTGGCCAGAGAAGCGATGTTGTCCCAAGAGAAGGGAGGGAGAAGTCAGAGCAGGTGAGACAGAAGTGACCTTGTGACCATCTGGGAATCATGCTGGAGGCAGGAGGCAGTAGCCTGCATGCTCATCTGACTTGGGCATGACTTGATCCAAATAATCTTAAAACGTTACTGTCAAATGTCGAATCATTGCCAGAATGCCGGAATCAACCCTACCCCAGCCCAGCAAAACTCAGATGGAAAGTCTGCTGTGGGAGTTCTGTGTAACAGCGAATGGTGCTTTGCACTTTGCACTGTAGTTAAGAGGGGCTGAGTGAAGCTCAGAGGTACAGCGGGATGATAGTTCTTAATACTGATTGTCGTGCCTTCTGCCTCTGCCTGAATTCAGCCCTGTGTTCATACTATTATGACAATAACCTCCTGTCTGGCAATGGTGCCTATCATTTCTCCCTGCTTCAAACTCTACTCCATAAAGTTGCCAGGAGAATCTTTACAGCTCTGCTGGAGTCACTTCACTGCTGAGCAATCTTCAGGGTCTCAAAATTGACTATAGGCTTAATGGAAAACCCCTTGGTATGGCAATCGAGGCTTTTTGGAGTCTGGTCCCAACTTTCCTTCTCATCACCTTCAGAAGGTCATAAAGTTAACTGTTAGCCAATAAGCTGGAAATCTATCACCTACATCCAGGAGGGACAACTTACATTTTCCTGATGTAGTGCCTGTTTTAATTTTCTTCACGTGAGTCCATGAGATAGTCTTCAGAGGTGAGATAAGGCAAGTACTACTCTGTTGTAGAAATGGAAAAACTGAGACCCAGCTAGAGTACATCGTTTGCCCAGGACCTCAAGGGCACGTCCTCTAAATGCTTAGCCTGCCCCTTTCCACTCTTGCCCGCTGCTCTGGCTCGTTGACACGTCTCCATCATTGGCTTCACGTGCTGCCACTTTCTGGGGAGCTGGCTTTGCAACATCGGAAGGTTTAACAATACCGTGTCAAAAAAAACGGACGTCTTTGGGCTGAGTCAGCTTAGATATGTTTTATTAGGTGCCCTTAAAAATCAGGTTTCACGTAAGTTTCTGAATTTTTGGCTTTTCACAAAAGATCTGAAGGTCTGGCAAGACTGCGCCCAACTTCCCATGTTCCCATATAGGCAACGTCAGCTTGAGCTGGGAAGCAGCTGACCCTTCTGGCCAGAGTTTTCCCCAGGCACTACCACTTCATCATACCTTAAGCCTGCTCTTCTTTACAGTACCTGCCTGGCCCTAGTAGCATTTAGTCTGCAACCCTTGGTTTAGAAAAAGATTCATCTGTTTTCTAAGGATAAGATAAAACATTTTAATGGAGGAAATAATATATGATTATTAAGTTCGGAGAAAGTCTTTTGTTGTTGTTCTTGTTTTTATTAAGACTTGAGCTTCCCAGGAGAGAGTAGATACTGTTTTGGTTTTATTTCTCATTTTTGACAACAGAGCAATTTGACCCAGAACTCTTAGTGACAGTCCTTTTGAATGAAAATCTTTGCAGGACCTTTTAATGAGGAATTGACAGGGTGATTAACTTATAATTCACAAAAAATAAATGTGGAAAAGAGAAGAACAGGTCAGTTTCTAGCTGTGTTAAACTGTAAGGACAGCACCATTGGCAAGTGATTGTTCCCTTTTAACAGCTTTTCTAATTTTTCTTAATTGGATCCTTTGTTTTCTAATTGGATAGACGAAACTATCATATGGCTTTCAATTACTAGCTGTGGCGTGGCAGTCCTGTCATATGGCATGTGCTAAGTACAGCCAGACTCGCAACATATACGATGGAACAAATACCATCTCCAAGAAGCTTTTTTTGTGTGTAAGAAAGGAGCAAGCTCCCTCGTCCTGGATAGGTAAATCGTGCCGAGGTGGGACGTATTAACTAGCTTGATTTTCCAGGGAGATGGTTTTGGACTTGTGTTATAATTTTCTTTTAAAATATTTGCTCATCATAAAATATAAATGCTTGTAAGAATACAAGATCTTCTGTTGCACACACACACACACACAAGAAAATGTCAGTGTCCTCGAAATACTTTGTTTCTTCTGCCCACTGGTGAATTTAGAGATTCTCTCTCTAAGAAACAAAGTTTCTCATTTTACAACCTCCATTCGATCTCACCTACCTACAGAGTAAAATCTAAATATTATCTCATGGCCTATATCTGACCCCAACATCTTTCTCCAAATCCATTTCCCAAAATTGCCAGGCAAAACCTCACTTTTCCTTGGAGGTATGAAGTCTTCATGATTCTGCTCTCGCCATTCCTCCTCCCTAGGGTGACTTCTACATTCTCCTTTGTCTGGTTGATCTTATTCATTGGTCAGAATTTCATCGGTCAGGATTTCATTGAAAGGATTCCCTTCCCAGTGAAGCTTCACTTGACTCCCCCAGGCCCAATTTGTATTTTGGTTCTCTGTCAACCACAGAACTTTCCTAATATCTCTGTACTAGCATGGGCTTGTTCATTCATTCAAAAATACTTTTTGGTCAGTACAACTGGAAAAAATAATACTGTTTGAGCATCTCAGGGTAGAGGTGCTGAACTCTGGGGCTACATAGTTACCAAGATGGTTGAGTTCCTGATCTTGTATTGAACTGTAACTAATCCTTAAGTGATTGTCTCGCTTCTTGAACTGTCAAACTGCAGAGTGTAGTAATATGTGCCTCACTTTGTATTTGATCAGTGGAGTCTAGACTAGCACCTGGCTCAATTAAGGTGATTAAGAAATGCTCATTGTCTTTTAATGTCTTCTTGATGGAGAACGTTCATCAATTTTATAAAATCTAACTCCTTAGTGAGGCAGCCAAGTATACCTACAGCCTTGGCTTTTAAATGTAGAACAGATGGTACGATCATTGTCATTGTCTTTGAGACAACATGGGACCCAGTGACCTTTCGGTGTAACCCTTTTTACACCTCTAGTGTGTCTACGTCAGATCTTGTGGTGGGCACTTTGGCTCAGCACCTTGGAATGGTCTTTTCCCAGAGAGGAAACACGGTCTCTGATTAAATGCCCTTAGCAGGCAGGGACAGGACACAGCTGGGGTTTGAATCAGGCTAAATCCCATCAGATTGGAAATCAAGAAGCTGCTGCTTTTGAAGATTATAAATCTGGGAAGCAGCGGAGACGAGGGGCTGAGTCCCTGCCCAGAGCAGGTAGTGCCACTTCTCTTCGTCTGTCAGTGCTGCTGCTCTCTGGCTCTTGCTCCTGAATTATTTTGAAGACAAGCACGTGAAGGGATATGATTTTAAGGCTGGGACCATTAAACCGACTCCTCAGCCCCTTCAAAACATGAGGTAATTAAAGTCTTGGAGAAGACCTCGCTGAGAACACGGAATGCCGTGGAAACGAGGGCGGCTCGGGATGGGATGCCAGAGACTCTTGTTTCACATCTCCATGTTTTCCCGAAAGACATAGTACAACTTTAAATAAAAGAGGAGCTTAGAGCTGTCAAGTCTGCTAGCTCGCTGCTACCAGGGAATTTAGGTCATGGGGTTCGGCTTCATGTGCCTTTCTTTCCTTGGCTTTGTGGTATTTGTATCCGTCCCACTTGACGAAACCACATTTCAGCATTTATGGTGGTCGCTTGTGTTCTTGGCCGTGAGCCGACGTGCTGGCGCCATTGCCAGAATGAAGACGTTCACCAGGGGCGAGGGGGACCTCTCCTTCCTCTTCCTCGGGCATCTCCGCGGATGCTGGAGCTGCCTGCACGTCTGGTTCCCTCGCCGGCAGCCTCTCTGCCTCCGCCGTGGACCCTATCCATGCAGACAGCCCCGGCCTCTGAGCTCGTCACTGCTCCGTGTGTTTGCTCTTGGATCTGTGCTTCACGCATTTTATTTACATGCTTTATTTCTCACTTTATGAACAAATCGATAACTAGACTTACTCTTTATCGCACCGGATTAGTTTTATTTATTCCATTTGAATTTGATTAAAAAGCTGTCAAACATAAGTCAACATTTTTATCAGCAGAATACTTTCACAAAACCGGGTCTGAGATGTGCTCAGCTAGAACATGGTTTTCAAAATAAAACAACATTTGATATAATCTAGACAGTTACCCTTTTGTTTATCCATGACAACTGAAACTAACCATCAAATGGATAAAACAATCCAAGTCTAGTTAAGTAATCCTTAGGGCATATAAAAAAAAGCCTTTTTAAAAAGTTCTTTCTAGATAGATTTAATGTAATTCACCAATAAAGCATCCTCAGAAGCATAATAAAAATTCTACATAAAATGACACAGCCAGGGAAAAGGAAGATATACAGTTTGATGAAGATCCAAAATGGATGTTAACATTAAAAATGAGCAGTCATGCAATTCCTGTATAATAGAAAGATCAAAATTGCAGGGTACTAATTTTACTTCTAATTTATAAGACAGTATGTTTATGGGACTGCAAATAGTATATGTAAAAAAACATATCCAATGGCAAATGTTTTGAACTGTCATTTTTCTTCAGCAAAATTGCCAGTCAACACATATTTGTAAATTTCAGCATATAGCACCAAGGATGGCTGGACTAGATTTACACTTACAAAAATGTTCTTGAAAGACGAAATATGTCTATTTTGGTTGAGATCCTGATTTCCTTTGTTCTATTTAAAAATTATTAGTTTCTGCCTCCTCCCTCCCTTGGTTCTACTCTTGTACACATGGGAGGAGAGCAGACACACGGTGAGACAGCTCACTGGTGTGTGCACACAACATGCTCTCAGTCACACACACACGCACGTGCCTTCATGTACACAGCCACACACACACAGTGCCGGGGAGGAGCATTAAGGCTGTTTTGGGGTACGCACTGTTCTCTGCACATGATTTTATAGCGTGGAGCACGTATCACGCATGCCTAGAAGCACCGGAAAGAACAGCACTGAAGGGGTTAATGTAGAACACATATAGGCAAATATTGTCAACTATTTTATTCAAATGTTTGGAACTTAAACACAAAATCATCATTAAGTTTTCACAAAATGAGGCATCTGTCGTTTGAAAGGGAAAAAAATATTTCAGAAATATGTTTACAGAAATGTAAAAATATTAGGCATGGAGACAGATGTGAACACACTCAGTCACTTGTCTTGTCTGTCAGTCTTCCTCCGAGCCGAAGATCTTACTGTACTCACTCAGCATGAGCTCGGCTATCTGGTTCTGGTACACCATGTGCACTGCCATGTTCCCCGTCTCCTTTTCAGCCCTCAGGAGGGTGGGTCCAAACACAATCCCTAAGCTCTGTGTGGACATGAGGTTCTTGGACGCTTTGGCCACTATCCTGTGGAGAGACAGAGAGAGGGAGGGGAAAAAGAAAAAGATTCCATTGGAGTTAGAATAAAATTGTGGCTACTTTTGAATTACAAAGTTCTGGGTTCTTGAATTCTCTTCCTTAAACTTCAGCTTATAGAAGCAAAATAAGGGCAGTGATTGGCTTTGGCAAAATAGAGAATGCAGCACAACCAAAAAAATTTTCAGCTTCCAGAAAAGTGACTCCAACATGATTTAATCTTCTGCTCCTTATGCTTTACTGTATGGAACTAGAACCTATGACTTTGGGGGGAGGATTCTGTCCCCATAGTACTTGACCACTGCAGGTGCTCAACAAACATGTGTGCAATGAATGAATGAAGGAATTAGCAAAAATGACTGTGCAGAGTTAACAAGATTCAGCCTTTGAAGTGGTTATAGTCAGTGGAGCAAACAGGGGAGACTGGCATCAAATATATAAGAAGCCAAACACTAGAAAATAGAACAATATATGCATAATTAATGATGGAAGGAAGACACAGGACTGAAAAAAAATTGAAAAAAATTTAAGTTTTTAGTAAGTAGTGGGAGTAAAGTATTCCTGACAAATGCTCATTGGAATATGTTTTATGAGGAGGGTAGGTTATGTGACATTTTGGGGTATAACAAAAGTCCAAGTGTCCCCAACCACTGTACTCAGTTTAGCTCACATCTCAATAAAATGCAGAAGCCTATAGCATTTGCACAAGAAGAAGAGTCCCAATGGAATCAAAGTAACATTTGCTTGTGTGAGGATTGCGTGATGAGCCAGAATACCAACGAAACATTAGGATGTGGTTTTATTAATGGTTACACCTTGTCTGCTTCAGCACGGGACTTTTGAAAAGAAAATAAAGCACCATCCTATACATTGAGACCTTAAAATTTAAAAAAAAGTCATGCTTATTCTCACAATTGAAGCCTCCTTGGTTTTCTATTAAGATCAGGGAGAGTGAGGTTTTAGTGATGTCAAGGACATAGTGAGAGCGTATGGAAGGACAGGGTAAGAAACACAAAGCTCTGGGTTCCTCCAGATACCCTGACCTGAGGGAAACAGGAGCGTAGAGACTAAAGTGAGGCAGAGGGACTCTTCGTTGCAAGGCAGTGGGGTCTCTGGGCTCAGAGCCCATGGGAACACTGCAGCACTGGCTTGGCTTTGGAGGACCCTGTTTGGCCTGCCCAGCCCTGCCCAGCAGATTCAGGAAGAAGGAAGATGGGCCCTACCTACACCCCTTCACAAACCCAGTTCTCTGAGGTATCATTTCTGAGACCAAGAGGCCAGGCCTCCTTCCTCCCGAAAGAGACCTACCTAGAAGGGCCAAAGCCATCAACTTGTGACTCCCCACAGCACAAGTTCATGGTCAGCAAGACGTCGTTGACTTGATCACTATCAGTAGTAATTAAGTATTATTCTAAGCAGTTTTATCGTCTCATTTAATTCTCATATCAGTCCCATAAGGTAGCATCTATGATTAAGCCCTTGTCACAAATGAGAAGACTGAGGCTGAGAGAGTGAAGTGCTCGAGGTCACATAGAGCTGAGGCTCAAACCCAGGCAGGGGGGTTGCAGTGCCCACGGAACCCACCCGGGGTGGGGAGGGGTGTTAGGACTCTTTCGCTGAAGAACTCGCCTGACTTTTACCCCCGTCCTTCATGTGTTTATCAGATTCTTCCCTAAGAGGGTCTGGATTTTTGTCCCTCACTGTGGCATTGCGATGGACAGCCCAGTTACAATGGATTTATTGCGGGCAAAATGATGCTTCAACTTGGACTAAATATTCAAGAAATTCTGCCTCCCATTTTCACTTTTCTTCTTTAAATGGAAAGCATTTGTACCTGTGAGTACTGCTGGCATGACTACGTTTCTGGAAGGGATTCTCATATTTTAAAGTATCAGTGAGTTATCAGAGACTTCAAGTTTAGAGTTTTCTTTGGAATGTAAGAAACTGTGCAGCTTCGCTCTACATTTACCAAAAATCTGTAGAATGATTTTGAAGCATTCTAACCTGGAGTCGGGGCAAATGGAGTGGAGCTTTGCTTCTCTTTAAAATACCTATTTACCTTGGCTTAAAGTCTCTTTTGAGCCTTTCCCAGACCTCTTTGTTATAAAAATCTCTTGTAAGATTCACTGTAAAGGAAAGTAGCTTTTCTCTTTCGGTTTTAAAGACTTTTTTTGTGATACTAACGCCTTCATTGGCTCTGCCCCAGTGATAATTAAAACATTTATTAAACAATATGGAGAGAGATAACATAACTGGTCAGCTCAGTCAGTACCTATTAGGTAAAAGTTGCTTTAAAAACATTACCCATCGGAGCAAAGGTCTAAGTTGGTAAGATTTACCTAGCAGAGAACAGGGATGAAGAAGGTGAAATGAAAAGGAAGAGACTCTTGAAAGTGTGAAGGTGAATGTCGGATACGGGGTCAACAGGGTGGAAGAAGCACATTAGGACCTGAAGGCCAGGAGACTGAAAGGGGAAAGTGACAACATAAGGACAGGTTGAGGATGGATGACATATTTTCCTATTTCATAATGGCTGTGATTCCAGCCAACAGCAAGAACAGTGAGATTTGTGGTGGCAGGGAGCCACAGTTTCATCAAACTCACAAAGGTGAGGCTAGAAATCAAGGGAGGCCCAAGAGCTGATTACTAGAGGGGACAGCTGGGGCTGTCAGGGGTGACAGGGGTAGAAGCAGGGAGAGGTCTATGGTACCTGGAGGGGTCGGGGGGACGGGAGGGGAACCTGGGCTCTCTAGGGCACACCAGGAAGATGTAACCAGAGGGACTCAACCCTTGAAGGGAGAAAAAGGAGGCTGAAATGGGACTACGCTAATCTTTAGTTTTCCCAGAGTTCCTGATATTTTTCCTGCTTAGCAAAAGAACTGGTCTGAGAATCCAGAGCAGGGCTAAATCTAGAGGAGGAACTAAGACTGGGTTTAAATAGAACAAAGAGAGGCGGCTAGCGCAGCCTGTCAGAGCCCTGCTCAGGGACAGTTTTCTCTCTTGGCCGGTGGATCATGAGAGAGGACTCCTGTAATGAATTTCCACCAGCTCATCAGTTTCCTAAGTTTCCTGTGGCACGTGTTCCCTTTGTGCTTTTCTGCATGTGGAAATGTGGAACATTCCTTCTATCTCAACCTGAGTCCTCTGTGTCCATTTTTAATAAAAGCAGTTTTAACCTGCAAGTGCTTTAATCTTGTTACAAGTTGATTTTACCAAATAACATATAGTTTTGTATCTTTGTTATATTTGCATTAATGCAGGATACATTTTCTTAACAGCTTGGGATTTTTCCCTAAGTTGGGAAAATTAAGGTCCTTGCAATAACTCTTGGAAAAATCAAATGTAATTAAGAGAGAATGTTAAGAAAATGGGGATGTGTGTTATACAGAACACATGCTGTCTTGCCTACTCACTGGTACAAAATGTGTGCTTGCACGTGTGTGTATTTCAATGGCAATTTATGTTCTGAATATCAACCAACCACTAGTTGGTATATTGAAAATCAATCAACCTTTAGGTTAGAAAAGATGCTGAGGGTCAAGACTATTTTGGGGTCAAAGTCACCAACTATCAAACTGTATGATTCATGTAGATAGACAAATAATTCTCATATAAACCTTTAAATTAGATTAAATTCCTTTGTTGGAGAGAGTGAGGATGGACCTTTCTAGCAAAGAAGGCCCCCAAACTGGGGATGGCTGGAAAATGTGTTCATGCCATTACAGGCTTCACTATTCAAATGTGAACCTACCTACTCTCTACCTCAATAAACTCTTAAGAAGTTAAGTGGTTGATTGAGGACCATGTAAGTCGTCAACCACAATGTCAAAATATAACTAGGATACTGTCCTACAACATTATTTACATCTCTTTTTTCTTTTACCTCAGATCAATGACTGTCATAATTTCCACTCTCACTGTGGAGATTAACTGGGCATTGCAAGTACCATTGTTCCTGAAAGCTTCAACTAGTAAAACATATGGAGAGGAGAAATACAGGCTACTGAAAGAAATAAGACCTTGCATGGAAAAAATGCAGTCCGATATCAAAGATGGAAAACTCTCAAAAAATGTAAGTTGTGCTTCCACTAGCTTACAATGCAGTTGAGTTGTGTTACTGGAGGGGAGGATCTGATTCAGAAACCAAGTACATTTTTGCTAGGGGTTTGGCAGTGCTTCCAGGACAGCTTTCACTAAAGTGAGTTCTGCAAAACACCATTTCTGTGACATATTTCACAAAAATAGCATTCTGGAGTGAGATACGTTTTGGAGAAAGTTATAAGACATTTTTTTTTCTCCTTGGAAATTTACAATGCACAATAACAAGATAGAGGCTCTGACAAGTCCTGCAGCGGGGGGGGGGGGAAATCCCTGTTCACCTTTGTGTAACTCACATGTTCCATAACTTACTTGAATGTCATGGATCCCCTTTCCTAAGTGACAATGAGGTGCATATGTTAGGAAACGTTGCTCTAGTGTGCTTTGCTAAGAGTCTGCTAACTAAATCTGAAAATGTTATGGATTTTTCCTTGCTATGCCACCCAGGCTTTGGCACTCCGTAGCAGCTAATTCAAAGGGGTCAGAATGTGGTCATTTCTGGCAGGTTCCATCCCTCGGGTAAGGCTAAGATTTCATCCAGCCTTAAACTCCATGACAGTATTGTAAATTCTGAGCTACAATTTAACCTGTTTTCAGCAAAGAAATGAAAGAAACTCCCTTTCTAAGACAAAACAAGGGCCAAAAGGCAGAAGACCACATCTGAATGAGAAAGGTGAGAGCAGAGACATGGTTGGGAGGTTACCGCACAGTGAACGGATGGGTGGGTACGAAGGTGCAGAAACATTTAGACCTTAGATCAACATTTGGAAATTCTTCCACATGTTTGTTTACTCACCATTAGTTTACTCCCAAGAAATCCTTGTAGCAAAGGTACCTGATTCAAAGCAACATGAAGAGCTCAAAAGTTTAGTGCCCCGGAATGCTTGACTAAC